CACACACATCAGAGAATAATGCTCCAGTCGCCTACAGTATATGTCAATATTTTATAATATGTCTTTGTTGTAAATGTCTATAATATGTCTGTAGATTTTATTTTACATCTATTTTTTGTTTTGTTGAATGTAAATATCATTACTTTCATTTGCTTTGGCAACACTGATTGTACCCATTGGTCATGCTAATAAAGCACCTTGAATTGAATTGAATTGAATTGAATTGAGATCTATGTTTGTGAGAGAGAGATCTATGTGTGTGAGTAATGTGTGTGTGAGAGAGAGATCTGTGTGTGTGAGTGATGTTTGTGAGAGAGATCTGTGAGTGTTGTGTGTGAGAGAGATCTGTGTGTATGTGATGTGTGTGTGTGTGTGTGAGATCTGTGTGTGTGAGTGATGTCTGTGAGAGAGATCTGTGAGTGATCTCGAGATCTCAAAAGCAACCAAAATTCCTACCACCACAAAGCCCTGCTGAGCCAAGAGCTAAACCCAAAACAGAGCCCCCTGAGCCAGCTGGTCCTGACCTGAGCCACACCGACAGGAGCCAGCATCAGGACAGCACTGCTAGAGCACCACAACTCAGACTCAAGCACATCACAGCACAGATCAGACAGCAATATCTCACACACTGGGACACAAACACAATAAACTGGAATGCTACAGAACCCTAAACAGACAATACACAAGCCGAATATCTGACCAAGATAAGAAACAGACCGTGATGAAGTACAGGCTCAGTGACCACAGCCTGGCCATGGAAACTGGGCGACACAGGCAGACCTGGCTGCCCAGAGAGGACAGGCTGTGCTCCCACTGCCAGCGGGGAGAAATAGAGACAGAGGTGCACTTCCTACTGCACTGTGACAGATACTCTGGGATTAGAGAAACACTCTTCCCTAAATTCAGAAATCTAATCCCAGAGTTCCCACACCTGCCAGAATCACAACGAGTCCCAGTCCTACTGGGAGAGGGAGGAGGGAACTCAGTTGAACTGGCAGCCCAGTATGTGATCTCTTGTCACAGCCTGAGGTACACTGGGCCTGTTTCCCAATAATGCTCCATATGTTTAGAGTATATGTAAATATTCTATGATGTCTGTAGATTTTATTTTATTTGTTTGTTTTTTTTGTTTTGTTTCCTGTTAATTTTATTTTTTATTTGCTTTGGCAACACTGATTGTACCCATCGATCATACTAATAGAGCACCTTGAATTGAATGGATGTGTGTGAGGGATCTATGTGTGAGAGAGATCTGTGTGAGTGATGTGTGTGTGTGTGAGAGAGATCTGTGTGTGAGGGATGTGTGTGTGAGTGAGAGATCTGTGTGAGTGATCTGTGTGTGAGAGAGATCTGTGAGTGATGTGTGTGCGTGTGAGAGAGAGAGATCTGTGTGTGAGTGATATGTGTGTCAGCAATTTGTGTAATCACTACTTTGTGTCTTTGTGAGCAGTGTCTCTGTCTGTGTGCACTATTGTGAGTGAGAGTAGTGTCTGTGTACCTTTCCAGGGTTTTGTCTGATCACGTTAGGATGCAGAGCTGGAAGAAGACCTGAAGTGACTGACATCTAGACTGCGTTATTTACTCAGAGCTCAGCGGTCTCCAGCTGCATCTCACTCAGTTGAAAGACTCCAAGCCCCTAGACGCTGTTAGGATCAGGAAAGAAGAATGTAAAATCCATCGTGGATTTTGTCAGTGAATGGGAGACAGTCCTGATGTGCACAGGGCGAGCGGGGCGAACCTGCAGAGCCTGCTGTGGTCGTTCGGCCACCAGGGGGCAGCAATGCGCTGAAGCTCAAACTCATTGCCAGAAAAGCTTAAAGGAAATTTATGAGGAGCAATTTGTGATCTCCACCCCAGGGGAACCCCAGGCGTTGTGAGGGGGTACACTGCTAAGAGGGGGCGCAGTGCAGAGGACTCCGATGAGAGGGGGTGCAGGGGGGGTACCAGAAACAAATCGAAGAGACGCCCCTTGACTCCTGGCCTGCCTCAGCTCCACTGTGGGTGTGTGGGCTCTGTATTGGCTGAGCAGCTCCCACCAGATACACACACACACACTCACAATCACACACACTCACACACAATCACACTCACACACACACAATCACACACTCGCTCACACTCACACACACCCATTTACATACAAGCAGAGTCACAGTCACACACATACACTCACACACTCTCACATTCACAGTCACACACACACTCACACAGTCACACTCACAAGCTTACACACACTCACACACAATCACGCCACTCACTCACACACTCACATGCACAGTCACACACACTCACACACACACTGACACTAACACACTCGCTCACATTTAGTCACACTCACACACACACACTCATATACTCCCACACACAATCACACACTCACATACTCACACAGAAACTCTTACACGTGAGTCACGTGGGGCAGCAGGAGCAGCAGGGAGGAGCCTGGGTGCGTGCCAGGCAGAGGCAGGGGCAGACTCTCCACCACTGTCAGGACTGCCTTTGAGGGTCCAGCTCTCCTGGATATCTGCTCCATCTCCAGCCCTCAATGATCTCCATCGAGCCGCCTGCCAGCTGCACCTCTCTGGCTGACAGAGCATGCTGCCCCAGTGCAGGTGTCGCAGGAGATGATACAGGTGTGAGAAGAGATGTGTGTTCAGTAAGTACTGCATGAACGTGCTCCATACTCAGCTTCATCTGAGGTGGGAAACCGAGCAGACTGGGTACCAGCTCCCTCGCCGCGAGGCTCCTAACGTCACTGCAGACAGAACGACACGCACGTCAGAGACCAGACCCGCTCAGAACGCCTGAACTACGACAAATGTCACGGTTCATTCTGAAGATTAACGGCCCGATTCAAATTGTCCCTAATGGCACCTCATTGAAATAAAAAGTCAACATTCAGAGACATATTGGCCTCTACTTAGAAAAAGATGCTTTAAGCCTGAGACAAAGCTCCTTTCACCTTGATGAAGGAAATCTGTCTCTCAGAACGTGTTCCCTGCGCCTGGCCTGACTGATAAGGCCTGCGAAGGGAAGACACTCGATTTTCATTAATGGCTTTGCAGCGATAAAGCGGAGCGTGGCGGTATCTGTGCCCGAGATCGAGCAGACACAAGCACTCCAGCAGACGTGGCTCACAAGCAGGGCCCAGTGCCTCCTGCCTGTCCCCAGAACCAGACCCCTCTCAAGACAGAGGGACGGCGAAGACTGTGAGGGCTCCTTGCCTTCACACAGCTGGAGCACCTTGCGCCCCTCTCCTGAAGGCAAGAGGGGAGAGATGGAGCGAGCAGCAGGAGGGAGAGAGGCTTGGGGCTGCGGGGTCGAAGGGGCTGCAAGTGTGCAGTGTCTCAGTGAGCCACCAGGGGGCGATGTTGCATAGCAAGCCTAGTAAAGTGTTGTTGAGCTATGAGCCTACAGCCACACGCGCCCCACTGCGTGGGGGCGTCCCAGTCCACTTGGCTAATGACAGTCCAAAACTGCACCCGTGACCCCTGGGGTGTCGCTTTCTTCCCTTGCACACCATCTGTTCTCCTGATGTCTCGTTAGCGTTCTCTTCTCC